CTGGTTGTCTTTTGCTCTCTCTCTCTCTCTCTCTCTCTTTTCTAGGATTTTCAGGTCTTTGAGTTGTTGGGGCGTGGAGGATTTGCCCAGGTCTATCGAGCAAAGTCTGTCATCACCGGACAGGAGGTGGCCATTAAGATGGTGAGTGTTAGTGCTCTTACTCCACACCTAGATGATATGTCCACCTATTTACCAGTTTCCTTTGTATATTTGCCTCTACGTATTTCGGTGTAGCCTGAAGGTCTATAGAGGCTTTCAGTGACTCGTTTGTATGCTAGAGACTTAGAACTTAGAAGAATTTCGCTGTCAGCCCTTTTTTGTCATCTACCAGTCTTCCTAATCTGTATACCGGATAGCATGCTAACTCATCTGTTTCTGGGGCCCGGGCCTTGTGTCTAAGATGCCAGAGCGAGTAACCATATCATATGGATTCAATTTGAACTTTTGCATATGAAAATATCACTTCTACTTCACTTTATCGGCACAACTGTACTCAGCCAACCAGCAGTAAATGTTTCTTGATCCCCTTTTCCAAATCTTGTAATAAGATATGGCTTCAGATTTCCCCGTGCCTCCCTGTTACGTTGTTTCAAACCCCTATGACATTATGACCTGGCCATGTCATTCAAACCACTTTAATTGGATTTCCCTTCATCATAAACAAATGTAAGGTTTTTTCGCTTTTCCGCTTCCTTAGTGGTCGCAATCATATATTGCAAGGTGCTAAAAGCTTTCTGATTCAGTCAGAGGGGGACACCATCACTGCGCTCACTCATATCGTGTGAATACATTAGATTAGGGTTGGCTCCAACATCTTTTAATAACGTCTCGCATCTTAACACTCTTGCTGTCTACTGTTCGAATCTGTTATGCGTAAACCTCTTTCATTCACTTGCATTTTTAGATTGATAAGAAATACATGCATCAGTACGGCCTCGCACACCGCGTTCGCCGTGAGGTGGAGATACACAGTCGCCTAAAACACCCAGCTGTGCTTGAGGTAAGCTTTGGTCCCCTCTTATTTCTTTATCTCCATTTAAAAGTCGTTTGAGGTGTAGATAGCTTTGTTTTTTTTAGTTATATTCTCCTGCATTTGAATTTGATCTCAGGAACCAGATATACTTTTTAGGTTTCAAATTATCCTGCGGGGTGAGGAAAGCCAGATGACCAATAGTGAAGATTGCTTTTAGCAGCTAATA